TGTTTATTTTCTTCTTCCCGGGGGTCTCTTCAGGCGATAAGATTGGCCGAAGACCCCCAATCCTTTTTCTTGTAGAAGAAATAGGCTGTTGATAGAATCCTTTGAGTGCCTGCGAGACGGTTTCCGTCTGTACGCCCGTCGGCCGACACTGGCTCTCACCAGCGGGAGAGAGACAACTCCTGCTCCAAAATGTACCCAGATGAAAACTAAATATAGCCATTCATCTTGAAAATGCACTTGCCGTGCACTTGTTTTTTTTTTTTTTTTAACCATTCCACCACTGGAGAAACTGGGGAAAAAAAAATTGGAAATAGTCGGAGACGGAGAAGTGAGATATTGTTTCTATCTTCTCTAAAAATACACTGGAAAGAGATGCTGCTATCGGAAGGATCTTTCACTTCTCTGTGACGGTCTCGTCGGTGATGAAGGTTCGAAGTTTGAGCCCGAATGAGAAGTGGAATTTCGTCGTTATTGAGAGCGGAGTGGATGCGGAGATAGCAGACTCCGATGAGAATTGGCTTGCCTTAAAGGGAGGGGAACACCATTTTCCCACCCTCAAACCCAGAGAATGACCTTTAAAAGAAAGTAGGGAGAAGAGGAAGAATTGGATCTCCATTCACTCGAAAACTCATTCGGGCTAGAATTGAGCAAAATTCTCTCTTATTTCGAGTCCAAGGCGCATCAATACATCCCTGCCGTTTTTCTGTTTGAGAAAAAAAAGTTGGAAACGAAAAAAGCGTGGCGCTTTTTTCGTTTCCAACTTTTTTTCTGGATTCATGGAATGCGAGCGACCAAAGGACGGAAACTCGCAGTGGGCAAGCGCAATGACCCTCTCATCCCCACGCCTGCCTCCGCGCAGATGGATTCGTCTTAACTCTAAAAGGGGACGGGCGGACCCACGCCCAAACCGAAGAGGATCGGATCACCATTTCCTCCTATCAAGTGAAGGATGAAATGCAGGCATCTGCAATGCAAAGTGTCGCTTCGATTCCTCCTTAGAACTATGGAACGGAACTATATTGCCTTTTTTTTTGGGAGGGGGGGGGGGAGGGGGGGGGGGGGGAGGAGAAGGGGGGGGGGGGGGGGGGGGGGGGGGGGGGAGGAATGAGATTGGGGGAATCCACTAATTCATCGTGCACCGTTCCATCGCCCAGGGAATCGATTAATCGATAACCCGGGAAAAAAATCTGTGCATGCCATAAGACATGGAGGACATGGTCCCTCCGTCCACTCCATCTTCCTTTCATAAAAGCTCCTTAAAGATCATGAAGGTCATAAAGGTCATTCCATTGCCACTGGAGCGTCGAAGGCGTTCATCCCCCACTTTCGATGAGATCTCGAAGAAACACTCATAAAGCCTCACAAAATTATTCCACGGAAATAAAAACTCGACTGTCGGTACGAACTGAGCCGTCGTGTTTCCTACAATCTAAGAAAATAAAAATCGCGCAAAACGGTCGAAATGAACCGATCCGTAAGAAAAGCCCTTTTCATGTTCCCCTTCTTTATTTTTCATAGCAGAAAAGCCTCCAATAGTTACGGGATGCAGGGAGTCCAACGAGGAAGGATGCATGCGGGAACCCCAATTATTCTTTTATTTATGACAAATGATAATTATATATTTTATATATAATTCGATAGGAGAGACGGGCGGATCCGTCCGGCTGCTCCTCCGCCGCTAATTCATTTTCTTTTATATCATGTAATCACTTTTGAAGACGGAGCTGGTAATTATCAGTGCTGCTATCGCCAGTGTTGCCGGATCGAGTTTGAATCACCTGCAATATTTTATTAATTTTAATTTTAATTAATTTTATTAATTACCTGCAATATCGCAAAGTGGGCAATCAACCGCAATCTTCCGAAATGAAGCCGTCGAGGTCGATAAAAATCCTCGAAGGAATCCCGAGGAAGTCGCGGCAGCGGAGCGACCCGCTCGGCGGCGGGAGAAGACTTGCCACCGCCCGGTGACGTCACTTCCGGTCCGATGCGACACCTCGTCGCGTACCTCGCCTTCCCGCCCAGGAGGAAATTTTAATATTATGACGTTTTGTTGTTCCAGGAAGCAGCTGAAGCTTCCTCGATTTCCGATTCTGAAATTATCATGCCGACAAAAATCTTGCTGGCGAACTCTATGAAGGAAGGAAGAGGAGCCCTGCCCCGAACGGCGCGAAGGATTCCCCGCGGTTTTCTCCTCAGCCGGGATTTAAATAGCAAATTTGCGTGTGGACATGGGTAGAGGGAGCTATTCATATTTTTTTGTGATGAGAAAACGTTATAATGGTCTGATTTTGGCATGGTATTCCGTTCGGCGAGAGACACTCGTACAAATTTTCTTAATTTTCTTAATTTCTTCATTTATTTCATGTCATCATCTACATAAATAACGACCTGCAGATTGACTGAATTTTGTCCGGTGAACTCATCCCAGTTTTCGCAACCGGTTTTCATCAACGACAGCTCATTCCTTTTCTAATTTTTTTTTTTGCGGATGGGCGAACACATTCAGATTTTTTTTTTCTGAGTTGACCTTTGACCTGACCCGGATGACCTTTAATTTCGGACCCAAATCCCTGTCCGATGTATCATTCGAAAGCCCTTGACCTCCATTAGAATTCGTTCTTATATTGCAAAAATGTTGCAATTTGATCCGGTCGGTGTGGTCAATCTGAGTCGAGAGCGCACAGGCGCCATCTCTGTGCAGTCTAGATAACTGCTTCGGGACCGCCGTAAGGCGCCAGTTTTCTACACTTGACTTCTCATAGAAGCTCACGTTTCTTCTCGGTTGTAGCGAGAGAATTTGGTCGTTCTTATCACCTATTCTTCATACCGACCATCGACATTAGCACACCCTTCATTTAAGATTCTCGCTGACTTTTTTTCAAGGGAACGGACCCATGGAAACCACGCGAGAACCTGGTCAGCCCGAATACGATGCTTAGCCACATTTCGAGGATCCATCGGAGGGACGTTCCGCGCATTCTGCGAAACAAGGTTGGGTCAACGTTGAGAAGTGGTTGAAATGTTGAGACGTGGTCCAAGGAATGAGATGTGTCGTTCAAGTACTGAATTCCAGTTCCGATCCAGTAAAATCAGTCACTCGGATGGACCCCTGCATTATTGCACTCATCAAAGCACTTTCAAGCTCAAATCAATTTTCATTCAGGCTCAGGAAAAGGAGGAGGAAATTCCCAAAATGTCGACAAATCAACGCTGGTCACAACAGGACGAATGATCGTGTCAACGTTGAACTGTGTTTCATTTCAACGTTGAGGCGACATGAAATCCCCCTTTCACACATCGTTATGGCAGAATTTCTACGGTGAAAAACATTCCTCGCTCAACCTTGACCCGACGTTGTTGACCGAATCGGTAAACTTAACACGAATATAAATTTTCCGCATAAGATATCGTTGCGGATGCCTGAGTCCGTTTCAGTTCTGTTTCTCTGGGCCCTAACGGGCATATAGCAATTTTTTTTCGTCTGAATTTTCTGTGTTTTTTTTCCCTGAGAAAAATGATTCCATTATCGTGGCGCAAAATATGATCGCATGAGTAAGCGAGAACCATACTGATGTCGATGCCCTCTTATAGTAACTTCTGAGTACCGATGCCGAAACGATCAGAGGTAAAGAAGACGTTTCTGTGCTATCTTAGAAAGTTAAATTGATCTACTCATAAGATAGGATATGTAACGTAAGTCAAGGCTGCTTTGGTATTTAATGATCCTCTTGAGATGCTTGAAGTAGTCTTTAATTCCAATTCAATTCTTCCAGGAATTTTTGGTTAATGTTTCCTATTTCGGACTTGCTCCATTTACCTGTGAAGAGAATATTAATATTTTAAATATTGATTGTGGAAGACTATTCTGTGGAGTTACTGTGGGAATGTCTTGTGAAATACCTGTAGGTTGGTCATTCAACTCTTTGAGAAGAGTGGAGTGGACAAAGTTCAGTTGCTATGCAAAAAAAAATATTGTTGCTACTCTGTAAATTCCCAGAATATTTGAATTTCTGCATGATTTGTCTGTTATATTTTAAATGAAATTATTAAAGAGACCGAACCATCACTTACTTATGGAAAGTATTGGAGTAATTATGCATTATTTATTTCAGTAATCCAGAGAGGCTAACTGGATACCATGACAGTTTGATGATCCTCAATATCCTCATAATAGAAGTGTAACAGCTGTGCAATTTACTATACTAAAGACAGCACATTCGATATACCCTCATCTGGAATATTGATCTCTGGATATGAAAATGTCATCATTAACTAAACCTGTTTTCTTTGTTTTGCAGTTCATAGCGAGTGAAGTTTAGAGAACATGAGTGCGAGGAGACGAAGCTGAACGAGTGATCATCTCGTTAATTCTCTAAGAGGATAATAAGGTTTCTTTGGTTCTGGTTCATGTCGACATCCTGGAAATATTAATATGAGTTGTAATTGTCTAAAATGGATAAATAAATAAATTTCTTGTGTTGGAGAATCTTTTTGGTCCGATTTTATTTCTGGCGAATCTCAACGGGGGAAGGAGTGATTGCTCAATTCACAGAGAAAAACATTTCCAATTCTATGTTTTATAGTTGATATTCCCATTTCCACATCGAGTCTACGTATACTTGCAACATTTACTCAACGTTTCCAGGTCGATATCTCAACGTATATTCAACGTCTATTCAACGTTGTTATGCTACATGGGCGTCCATATATTATTCAAGTATGGTATTGCATTGTATCAGATCCAACAATGAAATTGAAGTGAAACCAAAGTGAAGCAGCATGTTCACACCTTGTCCTGTATACCCTGAAAGGTATCGAGACATAATGCCATTGAAATCTTTCCGGCACTTAGACAGGTGAAATCCTTGATGAAAGATGTTCGTGTTTTCACTAGCAATAAAATCATTTTATGTATATTACTTTTCATAGGACCGACGACATCACCGAATGAACCCGACGGTCACGGAATGGCAGCGATGGCAGCATAAATTAGCGTCCTTCGGGTCTGCGATACCATTAGTCATCCCCCAGCACCTCCAGGGCCATCTCGTTTTCCAGCATCTCGTGGCTCTCCTGCTCATCTGCGTCTGGGTCATCCACTGACTCGTAGAAATATCCCATGGTCGCGAAGACTGCCATGGCCACGCCCATGATCGCCGCGAAAAGGAAGAACTCGTACGCCTGTGCATGCGCGTGTCATCTTCACCTTGGTAAGAAAAAATGGAAAAGGGAAAATGCCCCTGATCGCCTCGTACCTGGCTGTCGAAGAACTTGATGGCGACGATGAAGATGTCGATGAGGTTTCCAAATGTGTTGGTGAGGTACCAGGCCGACGTCACAACCGCTTTCATCGATTTCGGCGCCTCAAATAGAGATTACGAAGTAAACGAAGCTGTGATTTCGCGAGGAAAATAGAAGTTGCTTCTCGCGACGGTGTTACCTGCTGATACGAGAACTCGACACCTGTGATGGAATACAAAATCTCGCCGATGGTGATGATGACGTATTGAGGGATTTGAAGCAACATGCTGATGTTGTTCGGAGGTGTCACCTCGTATTGCCAAATGCCCTAGCGGGTAAAATGCGGAAGAGATGACACCAAGAGAGAGAGAGAATTCTTCTCACGCAGTGAGAAGAATCTTCAGTGAGAGATTCTTCTCTCTCATAGCTCACAGTCTCATTTCCAATTCGGTCGCGTTGGATGAGGACGTTGTAGGTGGCTCCGAATTTCCCTTCGAATACCCCCACATCCTCGCAAGATTCCAGCTTTTGAATGCACAACATGTTCCTGGAACGAGAAAACACCGACCAAAGGTCTCGAAATCTAATTCTTACTGCGGATACAAAATGGGAAGGGTCTCACGAGTCTACTTCTACTTCTCCGTAGTCGGTGGCATTAATGGGACCGTTCGCAAGTTCCAGTTCCAAGTCTTCATCCGACTTGAACTTGACGGTTGTGTTCCTCCAGAAGTCGTCCGGAGTGTTGAATAAGACTCTACAACCCCATTTCTCTCACTTCAGGCAACCTTTCTCGTAATAAAGATCTCGTGAAATAGAGGAATTTGCCAGACCTGACTTTCGGGAATCCTCTCTCCCCCTTCTCGATGTCGTCGAACGGCATCCTCGCGATGGCGAGTTTCCTGCTTGCGTCCTGTCTGACACCCACTAGCAGAGTCACGACCTGGAAGAATGATGCCAGATGCGGGTCTGACCGCGTCTACACAAAACCAGAGGAAAGCGATGGATCCTCACGTCCCCTCCCCAGACTCCCTCGAGGGTTTCGTCCTCTCTCGTGTCACCAGGAAGAGAGAAAGCTCCGCCCATGCAATCACTTGCTATGAAAGTGTGGTTCCGATTTCCTTCGACGGATCTGTCGTCGAAGTTCATACTTGAGAAGGGCGGAATAAAGGATCCTTCTGTGTGAAGCAAACCACCTTCTGACGTAATCGAAAGGCTGCAGTTGAGGCCGTTGATCACCTGGAATCTCACCTGGTCGGGGGGAGGCTTCTTTGGGTACGTTTTCTGCGGCAACGAGAAAAAGTATCAGGTTCAATTTCCAATCCTTGCATATTTTGCTCTCGTTTCGATTGTTAAAAGGCTGTATACCCTGCATGCTTCCATGCGACAAATACTAGAGGGTGCTCTGTTCATTCATTGGGTGAAGTATTGGTCAATCTCATTAGTGGCATGCGTGAATAAATGCAGGCAAAAATTACAAGTAACGCAATTAATTGAATTTAAGTAATAATTGCACACTCTAATCTCAGGGAAAGTATTGGATTGACATTGATATTACGTGGTAATAGGGAATAGGCTGGGAAATCTCCGGGTTTAAACGTTCCTTAACCGTTGTCAGACAAGCGGATGTAAGTGTCCCTCTCAGATGCGTGCTCCAGAAGACTTTCTTGGAAAAAAAAAGAACTAAACGACACCTGCCACTATGCCGTTTTCCACCGTTTCCTGAACGTGATATCGCAATCGAGGAAATTCTGAGGGTTTGCCCGAGATGCTTTTCGAGTATTTGGAAATGAAGGAACCGATTCAATCTTAGACTCTGCATGAAAAATAAATTCCCGAGAAGGACTCCCCCTCGAAAGGATTCCACCTTCACGATTGGTGAAGAACAGTATTTGCCCTTAATATACCATTCCTAAAGAAAGAAATTGAACGGTGGATAGGCAGTGAATGGGGCGAGCCCTTCTGTTCTTCTTCGATCACCCCATTGAAACTCCTACATGAGTTGTCATATCCCTAATAAAGGGGAACTAAGAGAACTTCCAACCATAAGGGTTAGGCCAATGCCATTTCTTTGCACGCCCTTTCTTCAATAAAACGGGAATATGAATAGCTATGAAGATGAGTTTGAAAAGGAGACTACCTTAGTGTCCTTGGGTCCAAATACAGATATGAACATGACGATTAAACTCCCCATTTCAACCCTGAATTCATTGAAATTGGAGTTCATGTGGCTGGTATTATATATTTTGAAGAGTTAATAATGCACTGAAAAGTGCGTCAACCACTTCAGGCAAAAAAACTCGCTAGTATAGGCATACCCCGCATTTTCCTTCCTTTACAAACCTCAATTTCAAGTTCAATGAGGCCAGAGACAGCGAAGGCGACTCCAGCCAGGACCCCTCCGACAAACATCCGGGGAATGGATTTGGTGAGGAGACCAAACTTTGCCAATCCCGGGTATATGCAGAATTGGAAGATGGGGATGAGGATGAGGACCAGCAAGGGATGCACCAGCTGGATCTGATCTGGTTTCACAGTGATACTCCCGAGTTCCCTGTTCATCCGCGTCGCTTGCAGCGTCCATCTTGAACCCTACATCGTAGGTAAGGATTTCCAAGGTCCAAAATCACTTTAAACCTTTAAATGGCCAAAGTGGGTCGAATATTACGCAGGGCCTAGGGTTATTACATATCAGCCCTTACGAAATAGTCCCATTGGATTCCTATATGAATGAGCGGGAATGTATAGGAATTATAAAGGCATCCTATAGGATTCTTGAAGGAATCGAATAGGTTTTTGAAACGTGAAAATCCTTTAACAATCATTTAGGAAACCTCTCGGATCCTATACGTTTCCTATAAGACCCCATAATATCACATAAAATACTAAAGGATATCTTTAACATCCAATAAGATACCTATAGGATCCTATAGGATGCCTATGAGATCCTATGGGTTCATATCGGTATCCTATAGGATTCTATGGGAAACTTATACGTTTCCAGTAGGAATCCCCAAGGGTTTTCCTTCAAAAACCTATAGGAATCTTGTAGGACCTTTTCGCAAGGGAGCACCTTCATTACATGCATATACTGTGCTTAGTGTGTCTGCATGGTCCGTCAAGGTTTCACTAAAATACGATGGGTGTTGGAAAAGTAATGCCTGTTTGGGTATGACATTTATTTAATATGTCACAAAAAAAATTTGACTCACTGATAAAGAAGATATAGAGGAGCAATTGTCTACTTTGCAATGTGATCTACACATTTGGATCAACTCTCAAAGTTCAAGTCCTCTTTTGCCAATTTCCAAATCTGTTTTATTGTATCACTCCTTTAGAGCAGCCGTAATTTCATCCGCACTATCAATTCGTCTCCCAAGGGCATTTTTCCTTCTTTCAGCCTAGGAAGGATGATTGCATGGGAGACAATTTGATAGCGATGATGAAATTATGGCAACTGAAAGGAGTGGTTGAAGCAAACGTGTATATTTCAAAAAAGGATTCGAACGAATGGTTGAGAGGTGACGCAATTGTCGCTAAAAATGAAAATGGTAAAAGTGGCTGATTGTTCCTCTTTGTCAACTCCATCAATGTGTGAAATTTCAATTTTGTAAGATTTTAAATAAACAAGGTATACTCAAACAGGTATCACTTTTCAAACACCCCTCATATTATTTAAGTGTATTCTAGGTACTATATTATGAGGGTGGATTAAAAAGTGACGGTTAATTTTTTCTCACGTTTCTTTCTGTCCTCGACAAAATGTTTGCGAGTGTAGGTGCTGCCGTTTGTTATTGATGCTAGCATGACTTAATTGCATCATTTGCCACGAAGGACAGGTGCGCGAGAGATGAGAAAATCCACTGAAAATACAAGTAAAGAAATGAAAATTGAAAAGTGTTCTGTAATTTATTTTGTGTGGTCGAAGGTTTCAAAGCTGCCGAAACGTACAGAAGTCAGACCAAGGATGAGGGCATTTTCACGAATGAAGTAAAGCAATTGCGTACAGACTTTCCGTAACGGCAAAACAAGTGTAAAAGACAGGGAGAGACAGGGCAGACCCAGCACCCCGACACCCTCTAACGACAATGCTGCAATCTAAAACAATGGAAGTATGTCAATTGCACCGTTAGTGACTAGGAGGAGCCTTTATTCTTCTGTAAATTTCGACAATTCGAGTAATGGTGCACGTTTTCTATCCTTTCCTGTTTCTCGTGTACGTGAGCAGGATTTGTAGCATTGGTCCCAAACTGATTTGCAAAGATGTCGTGGAGGCAAGGATACTTCTGTTTATGAACGAACGCATCTTTTTGGCCCTGTCTCGACAGGAGCTTCTGAGCATGATCAGCCAGTTCTGCTGGGAATTTAATGCAGTTGATTTGAATTATATCTTCCCCAGAACCTGAATTATGGTTCTCTTCAGAAATCCTGTGATGTGCGTCATACACGTCAGGACCCCCACTGGAACAGGGGAAGTATAAGTTCCTCGGGCTCTGGTTCTCGAGTAATGGGCAAAACGAAAACGAGATCGACAGCTGCATCTCCTAGAGTACAAGAATATTTCAGGAAACAGGGCGATCCTTGGTTGCCACATATGACATTTCCATTTTCTTCACTCATAGTCGTGAACTTTCCACATCGCTCGAAAGAACCAGATTACATAGTTATGAGTTGACTTGATGAGGTGCCCTGTGTGTCACTGCCAATGGATGCGGAGTGCTGGGATCCATGAGAAGCTCCTGGTGGAGCAGCTACGTGTCAGGATCGTATCTCGAGAGATCAAAAGGCTCGTGGTTCTGACTCGTCTGCTGCATGCTCCAGGATGAAAACCCCCCAAAAGAGTTTATCGGTCCATAATGGGATACAGAATACGGTTCGGTAGTCCTTGCACTAGATACCATGTCTCTAGGTTCGAAAAGTTCACGAGGTGAAGAATTCTCCCATTGCAACCGTCCAATAACCATTGAAGATTAAGAGGAGAGGTATGTTAGACTTCACACCAGGAAACCGAGGGTCTCAGTACTCCAGTGGAAGGTCACGCATAATTCAGGTATCATTCTGCAGCCATAAAAAAGGCACATTCTTGCACTTCCAGAATATTTCTAAGTCATCCTCTTGTCAAATTATCAACAAGTATAATATCCAGGGATTTTCCTCTTGAAATTATGGTCGCCACATATGTTGATGCATATATGCCTCCACTGATATCTTAATGCATTAACATACATGCCAGTGCTTTTCCACTTGCATGACCTTGTCTTTTCAGAATCTCGGACAGTGACTATCAAGTCTTCGTGTCAAGCCAAAGCGAAACTTTCGGCAATTGAAGCAGCAAACATACACTCTTCACTTGTTACTCTGAAAATGGGGTAACAAAATCTTGTAATTTTGTTACTTTTGAATAGGAGTAAACTAGGAGTAACAGTGGAAAATTACAAATAAAAGGCTAAAAATTTGGAATGAAATTTTTTAATGCATTGGTGTGTTCATGTTAAAAGGAAAGCAACCTTCTGAACTCCATCAACATCTCTGGGGGCAAATTTCCAATGAACTGGATAGTGATGTTGATGTTACTCTTGATGTAAAAATTCTCGGAAATGTTGATGAAGTTCAGGACATAATATTCATTTTAATGAACAAGCTAGGGCATAGGAAACACTTTCATTCCAAGTCTCTACAATTTTATTAATTTTCCACCATGTTACTCAGTAGGTTACTCCTTTTCAAGAGTAAAGACTTACAAGATTTTATTACTCCATTTTCAGAGTAACATAGCTAAGAGTGCAGCCTTCGGTCATGTTACCTTCGATCATGAAACTTTTAAATACTGTAGATTCAAGAAGTGCCCCGGGAAGCACTGTAAGACACATGAGGTCTTCTATGGTTTATATATTTTATACATGTTTGTTTCTTACCTGTTGTTCGAGAAGGGCCCAGAAAACAGGCAAGGGAATATAAAGGAAGAGAACGCCCAACAGGATCTTGGTATGACGGATCATTTTCTTGCTGAACTTGTCGTCGGCATAATCCAACCAATGATCTTTTTTCGGGTCATTTCCGGACGTCCACTTTCGTCCTAGGGCGTGCTGCAAAAGAATCGACCAGAGACGATCTATCTAATATTTTATCGCGATAGCCTTTCGCAAGTGAACATGACCATGCTCTGGTTTACATGAAATTGCTGTCCATTCTATACGTGACCACAATGCTTGCAGCTAGCTGACACCAATTTTTTAAGGCAGAAAAAAATTAGTATCGGTGGTTCCCTTCCAAATCAGGAAGGGGCTGTCAGGTCATAGTCCTCGATTTCCTTCGAAAAAATGTGTTGTCCTCCCATCGAAACGATGAAATACGATACCTGATATACCACGGTATCTGCAATAGTTTCTAAGGAAAAAAAATTCATGAGTGGAGGGCTCTGAAACAGGCGACCTGCCAAATCCATGTTTTCCTCAAATTCAATTTCCTGTATCTCCTAAACTAGTTCACATAGATATATGAAACAATTTTTCGCATACTTCAGAGTACGTACTGTTTGAACATTTGGAAAAGAGCGTTATTATTTTAAATTTGTCATTCATATCATGTATGCCTAATTTGGCATTAATTGACAAGTTTTGACAATTTCACAAAAATGAGTGGGGAAATTTTTTAAAATAATTCTTTCACAGTGATACTAGAAGGTACGGGTTACTGGGCTAATGCATATTGCAAAAATGTCCTCCTCCTTTTTCTTAATGACAGTTATGCATTTTTAACCAAGAACATTTTCCGACGATGGCGAGAGAAACAATGGTGACACAATCATGATAAATTGTTAGCCATATGTGCGCACCATGTCAATATTACTGTCATATGGCAGGCGGATATTAAAGGGGAGATTAAAATTGAATTAATTTCGACTAAATTTTAAATCGCTATCAAATCTTCAATCGATTAATCGGTCGATTAAATTAATGAATTGGCAGTCCTAGAAAAAAGGCTTGTCTTGGAGCATAATTAACCAAAATAGGAAAATGTCCACTGGAGAAACACACTGGAAGTGCACGCTAAAGGTGTTACAATGTTACTCTCAATAAAAGCACACACTTTTATTCATAATTCACAATAGGTTCATATCTCGCCGAAATGACCATAGCTTATGATCAACCATGTTGCATTTGGACTAAAATCGACGCACACGGAACAGGATCAGTTTCAAGGAACTAACACCAAACAATTTATTACATCTCGTACCAATTTCCTGATGTATACATTTGATTGTCAAACATTTTTGGTGTCCTACTCTCATACAGACAGGAATTGTGAAACTTTTTTTGCTATAACTTCTTTTCTATTTCAGGTAGAAACTCTCCCATGATGTCATTCTAATAACGAAAATTCTCCATCTAAAATGATTCTTGACATTATTCTCCTCAGCGAAAATAAGAAATTTCACTTAACTAAAATTTTTCAAGTTCATTGTACAAAATCTGCACTTGTCACCTCTGGAATACTTTGTTCCAATATTTCATTCGATGGAGAATGTTATGCCATTTCTAACTACACCAAGTTCGAGATTGACAATCAATGAACAGATGAGATACGACTATATGATTGTAGCAGTGCTACCAGTACCTAAACTTCACTTCTTCGGTCAGTTTGACTTATTTTAGGGACCAACACCAGTAGTTGCTCCTCCAAGAATACGGATTTGAATAAGTCATTTAAAAGTGCATTTTAAAAGGAATATTCAAATGAAAAGAAAATTATATATTTGCACTTTGTCTCTCTACGAAGTATGAACAATGAAATATAATCTTGGGGATATTATTCATACAAACTATGAAACGTAACTTTTTCAAGTAAATTTCATGTGAAATTCAAGTACGGATACTATTACTGCAAATATTTGGCTCTATATAACCATATCCATATGGATGGTGATTGCAGCCGTGAAATAAGGAGACGTCTAATCCTTGGAAGGAAAGCCATGCCGACTCTGGATAAATTGATCAGATGCAGCTACATCACACTGTCGACAAAAGTACGAATTGTCAGAGCCATGGTTTTTCCTGTTACAACATATGCCAGTGAAAGCTGGACAATCAGAAAAGCTGAAAGGAAAAAGATTGATACTTTTGAATTGGGGTGCTGGAGGAGATTGCTTAACGTACCATGGACTGCAAAGAACAAACAAATCAATATTGGACGAAGTGAAACCGAAATGCTCTTTAGAGGCATCAATAGCAAAAATGAGGCTGACTTGTTTTTGTCATATAATGAGAAGACAAGACTCATTAGAAAAGACATTGATGTTTGGCAAAACGGAAGGAAAATGAAGGAGAGGACGACAGAGAACACGATGGTTGGACACTATCTCGGAAGACACGCAATTGAGGCTGCAAGAACTGAAGGAGTTGGCCATGGATAGAAAATGCCGGCGAGACCTTGTCCATCGGGTCACCAAGAGTCGAACACGACTAAATGGATAAAACACACTCACACACACACAAACACACACAACCATATTATTCGGTTGGCAGGGTAGATAATGCAAATCATTATTATATTATCATATGAACCAAATCACGAAGTATTTTTCCCATGCTTCGAAATTCTATCATTAGATCGGTGTAGCACGGGAACAACATTTAATCGAAATTCTCACCATATGACAGTAATATTTGGCATGATTCGAAGCCTTATTCGAAATGGAACCACTGACATGGTTTTACTAGGTGCGTTAAGGAATGAAGTGGGTTCCATTGAGAATATCTTTTAGTGTGCTGCATCATATTGAGAGCAACAAATCAGTCCTAGTGCCTCATGGCCGTGGAAAGCCTTCACCATCAGTTTCTCCAGATAATGTTGACTCCAGTCACTGGAGACACTTGGCAGCCCACTCAAAATGGCTTGGTCCAAATTAGGTCGCGACCCAGGGGTTAAGAATTACTGCCCTAGCCGATGTAAGTGCAATGTTAGTTAAATGACCGTGGTATTACCACTCATTCTCATTTTTAACACCCCTCTTGCGATATTGAGTAATTTGAGCAAGCATACTTTGATGCAGCCGAGTACTTGCACAAGGACGTGGCCCTTGGGTGGTACTATCTTGTACAGGGGTTTACCCAGCAGGAAAATCACTAATTGGGAAAAATAGCATTGAAATTGTCATCTTAGCTGCTGCCACGTGGTTTCACACAGGACAATGGAATGATTCCTACTAAGAGCGGCGATCAAGAAGGCAGCAGAGACACCGAAGGCGAGAGGGAAACAGGACTTATCCCCAAAGCAATGTACATCCTCTCTCAAGATGGGAGCGAGGAAGGTGGAGATGAGGAAACCTCCATTGACGGAGAAGTAGAAGGCAGAGAAGAACTGAGTCAGTTGCTTCTCGTGACCCGGGATGACGAACTGATCTCCTCCGAAGGCCGTCACGGAAGGCTTGATTCCTCCATGACCCATTGCAATCAGCAGCAACCCCACCATCGACAGCGTCCTTATGTATCAAGAGGTATTGGAAAAATGCACACATATTTCTTACATGGCGATGATGAGAACTTCGAATGTAGATGCTCACGTTTGCGGATATCCTTCGATGGGAGCCGATGAGAGAGAGAGGGTCAGAATTCCCAGGATATAAATTAGAGAGATATAGAAGATCGTCCTGTTGTAAAACATGGGGAAATTGAAGGACGGTTGTAAGCCAATGCTACGTATCCGTCTCATCCTGACTACCATCAATTAATGCATGTTGATACGAGAATCTGATGTCGTCCGTCAAGACCATGGAAGGGAAAGATGGTAAGGTAATACTCAAACCATGCGCTGTGTTGCACCTCACTTGCAAACTCAACTCCTTTGCTCTCAAACTCAACATCATTATGAGGTTCCCACCACGTTCCTCATTTTGTGTGTGCTGGCTCCCTTTCCCTCACTTTTGACAAAACATATGCCAGGATATGTCCAGGCCAAGTAACCCATGGACTCTTCAAATGAAACATCAATTTTTTTGCATATTTCGTTCCACCAAAATTTTAAAACAAGAATATGCGCCCAAGAACATGAAAGAATTGCAACATTCTGTGTGAAATTTAAGAAAAGAGTAATTTACAGGGGTCACACATGTAGTTTTCATTTATAATTTAAAAATGCTAATTTTCGAAAACTCCGTGGGTATTATAACAAATTCCAACATGAGCTCCCCTATCTACCATTTTCGTGGGTGTCGTGACTTTGAAATACATATATTCATAATCATACGTTTTTCCCTGTTCCAGACTTTTTAGGGGATTCCAGGCAAGTCGTTCAAGTTTTGAAATCCGACACGAAATAATGAAAAATCAGTCTTGAAATGAAAAATCAGAAAAATCAGCATCTGGGAGACGCATCTACAGTTTCCAAATTTTCCTCTCAAAGCAAATTCACTTCCAGATATTATTGCATCTTATAACTCCAGTTCTTTTTGTTGCTCCAGCTGACTGAGTCTGGCTTTAAGAACTAAGTCTTACATCCAGCTGAATCGTTTGCAAAGTTGTCACAGCAGTTTGTAAAAATGGACTTCTTAAGCTGAATCTATCAGAAGGGATACTAAAATTCAAAGCCATCCTTGATCTAACAGGTACCATGGAAAACTCCATTACCACTTACACATTCCATTAATTGCATTGATGTCATTGGCTCATACTAAGTCACTGTAACGTGACATGCAAAATAAAAATGTAAAAATTTATCATTTTCAAAAACCAAAGAAGCAGAGGAACTGAATCTGAAGACGACAGCCATCATGCTAAAGTATTCTAGGTATCAGCCATCAAATACGATGATTTAATTGCAAGAAATTGGGGAGGAAATTCGGTTCGGAAAATTAGTTTGTGACCTTGGCATCGTGTATTACTCCTTCAGAGTAGTTTCTGAGAAGATTAGGGTAAAAATGAACATTAAATGTTCATGTTTACGTTATGTCCCATAAATGATTGCATCAAAATTCCTTCAGAATGAATGATCCAAGACATCCTGCTTCATGTACCAAAATGCATTGGACAGCTCCACTCTAGAGAAAACCTACCACAGGGTCTGTCCACGGTGTCAGATGTGACACCCGGAGTAATATTTTTGGTATAAAAAATATTTTTAACTATAGATGTATTATGGCTGACAAATCAGCATATAAATTAGGTAATAATTTGTGTGATGACTGAAAATTCCATAATCCAAAGTCTTGCACTCTCTCTTATGTTAGAGGTGTACCTATGTGCAAAGAAAAGTGTCGGACATGACATTTCGTGAACCTCAAGTTTACGTCACTTACACTAATGTTCACATATCTGTCATCGAGCGGATCCTAATAATTTAGTTTCATGTCCATTCTATAGATGGAATGAACGTCTGGAATAACTGTAGTGTAAGTCACCCCAAGATGAGAACAAATGAAACAGAAAAGAAGCCTATTTTGTAACGGTGTCCGATGTGACAGGAAAGTGCCGGATGTGACTTGTTCTGAAAATGTATTTTGAAACGAGAAGCCTGTACATATTTATTTATTTTATTTTAAAGGTATCATTCAAATGTGAACAATTGACATCTACACTTCGCACCTGAGCTGATTTTAAATTATCAGTATGCATGAAAAGCCCATGCTGGCATCTCTTCCAGTAGTCTAATGCAGCCTCTCCAGATGTGCATTTTCATTACATTTGTGAGTATCATGAGAGTGGTATGAATAATATATCATAATTATGTCTAATTCTTTCATTTTTCAATGTAATATTCTCTTTCACTCATGTCTTCTAGGAAAAGAGATGATGAATTTCTGTAGCAAAAGTGAAATTTGCATATTTAGGAAAATTTCCGGCTAAAATTCTTGAACCACTTGGCGTGGACAGGCCCCACATTTAAGATGTAAGGAGAGAATATACAGTATGTCCTATCAAACGTGCGCTTTTGCTCTCTAAAGGAAGATAGCAACGTCAAGATGCTCGAGTGAAGTTCCTAATTGTAAAATTTTATTACGTAAAGTACGTATTACGATGTATACGATATCGTATAGCACCTATGAGAAACATATAGCATCCTATAAGACTCCTACAGGAACCTCATGGACTCCCTATTGAAATTCATGCCTAGTAATGGAACTTTAAAAGTCCTAAAAGAAACCTACAGGATTCATATGTATTCAAAAATAATTCCTAAACGTTCAATAAGAATTCCTATTAGAATCTTTCGTAAGAGCAGACAGTGGCTTGTCCCTAATCGTTTTTACCGCTCTTGAAGAAGCAGTACCATTTGAACACTGCCGCATATGGATGAACTTTACGCAGAAAACATTAGACTTCTCACTCGGGCATCAACTGAGTAGCCTCTCTTTCCGTTGGTGGAAATAATGAAACGAAGATGGTGGTGAGTCCAGTCAGTCGAGATGAAACTGCCAGCCTCCGCTCTAAGTGCTCTCAAAGTTCTCTAAGTGTTTAAAAAGTTATTAAAAATGCTTGACAACGCTGCGTCCCCCAACTCTTAGGAAAAGGGCTGTTCCAAAACGGAGAAAATTGGGGAGATTCACCAGCATTCAGTGAAATGAGAATGTTTTCTTGATTTTTCCACTGGTTATAAATAGTTTTGAATGTGCTTTGATCTCACATTGAAGAACACGGCATGAAGGCCAGGCAGGTGAGTATTGGTTCATCCAAACCAATTTGTTACTGTCGAGGAACGAAAATCTCCATAATGGACGGGAAAGTTGGTCTGCTTAGTTTTCAACCTCGATTTCCTTACTGGCGGCAGTGGATGGCCTTTACTAAAATCACATGCTCAAACACTTGCACTACTTTTGTGGCCATGTGACCCGCAACTATCTGCGAGAATCGGCGTGCATACTCACAATGACCATTGTTTGACTCCCTCCCCAGGTCCAGGAAACCCAACTCGGGGGGTCACATACTCCGATTGCGAGTATTGCTGAAAACTCATGTCCTAGAGATGTGCTTGGGCAACTTAATAATGTTTCACAAATACTCGCACTGACTAGACGATATGAAGCTAACTCCTGAAGAGAGAATCACCTCGAAACATCGCTAATGCCTCAAATAAAGGCAATCAGTACACCATTTAATCATTATTGAAGAAGCCTTTTCAACGATACTAAACACGATTGGGCCGTGAAGAAGATTTTCGAAGATAAGGTGATGACAATGAAAATTCGAACTGAGTCCCCCAATTGTTCGAGTTTTGTGAATGCCAAGAAACGTCCGATGTAGGCAACATCGTTTCAGTATTAGAAAAATATGTTGCTGATATTGCCGAATATAACCCCTAGATCGACCAAAAGAAAGTTAGACACTTTCGGTCAGGTTTTCACTCACTTTGGACTACTGGTGGGGAAAGTGGTGTGGTCATTGCAGGTCCTTATAGGGGTATTCAAAGAGACAAGAACCTCAAAAAAAGCCATGCCATGTTGAAGTCCAGACCGATGGAAGCCTAAACTGGGTTATACGTGAAAGCATAAAACAATTTTGATGTGTCAAAAAAAACTCCGATTAGTGAAGTTTCTTCAATAGATTATTTTTTTCACGACTGGTTTCATAACAAGAATAAACAGCCTAGAAAAGAAGAGCTTTTGAATGCCAATAGATAGAAGAACGGCGATGTTTGAGATGCTTGGCTCCTGCAGAGCTGCTGAACTCTCTGCCTTAGCATTCTTTGTCTCCATGTCATATTTTTGTGCGTGAAGAAAGCAAAAACTCATAAAACTAAACTCGATCGAGCACCAGCGCACTTCCTTACGACTCTCACGGCAGAGCTGATCACTTGCAAAAGCAAGCTTTCAAGATTGGAAGGAAAATGACGCCGTGCTTGCCGTGTGGTTATGCTCTCTATATCGATTTGGGGGAGTCTGTCCTCAGACGTCATGTTGGGCGGTTCAAGAGAAGCCATATGAACCATATATTCGGCTTAACGTTGGAGGCTCAATTGCCCAAAGTTTTCAGGCTCTTCTGGCTGAAAAAATATTGGACATGACCCGACGACATTCCTCGGGTTAAATGTATGCCTCGTATGCCTGATTGCCTTTCTTATTCGTGATGAACTCTGGAGATCTACGATCATTTATTGAAGACATGAGGATCAGTCATCATGTCACCCTAATGGAGGAGCGAAGAGAGGGGAAAACGCTTGGAATATGTAGCGCCTCGTATAATGGTACGTGAGCATTCCGCGCAGGATACACGGATGGTGCTTCCTCTAAATTTTGCTCATTTGTGATTCCCTTCAAGAAAGGACTCTGGGTTTACAGAAAAATATATTTAAAAAATGGATTCTTCATTCCTCTTCTTTCAGTTCTGTCATTGACATGACTGAGAAATTCGACGAAATTCGAGGTGTGATATCGTCGACAGAACTAATTTCTTGCACAGACCCAGTTCTGAAGGCCAAAAACGCATCCATTTCGCACCTCACGGTACGAAATGGATGCGTTTTTTTATGAGAAATAAATGCGTCCTTCCTTTCACACACGTAGTTGGACATCTTTTCCCGAACATCCCATTATGATACTTTAGTTGATACTTCTCTCCGATTAAAAGAAATCTCACATCTGAAGTCCCTTTCGGCCTCAAGAATTCCTCCGCCAAATAGAGAGCATTGACGAGGAACAGACTCACCTGAATTTCCCCAGAAGGGTGTCAGAGATGATGGCTCCGATTACGGGCGTGAAGAAGCAGATCATGATGAAGATGTGGTAAATTATAGTAGCATTATCATCGTCGTAGTTCAGAACGTTCTTCAAGTACAGCACGAGGATGGCTGCAATAAAAGTTTTTTCACCGTCACATCTTTAGTTTTTTCACGAATGCACATTTTCATTAGAAAAATATCGCCCAGAAAAAAAGCCAATTATATTTTTTCGAGCGTTTTCTGTAGAAACAGGTTATCCCATAATTAACCCTTTGGGTGCCGCGCAGCCGATTTTTGGCCACGTCTACGACTTCTAAAAATGCTGTAGGTCTATTATTCTGTCATCTAACAATGATTACAAACGACTACGAGATAAAAGAAACCTGGAAGTTTTGGCAGAAGAATCTACCTTCAGCTCCCTCAGCAGGAATACATCGAAAGATGGACCGCGCGGCACTCAGAGTTAATATTTATCTGCCATTCCCATAGGTACTATGGGAAAATGGCAGATCTTGAAACCGGTCAGTCAATTTTTTTTTCATTCCGTCTGATCGCAGTAACCATTGCGATCGGACAACACGACTCACTGCGCATGAGCAGTCTTAGGCCTGGGTCGGGGTGTACGTCCTCCACTAAAACATTCACTTCGCTCCCAGGTCTCGCGGTTGACGGATCCATAGCAGACAATTGAGAAGAGCGGCTGCTCTCGACCGCGTGGAAAGTGTTGCTAGGCACGTGCATGGACTTCATACTGGCCTCCCATCTCATATGCTACGCGTACGTGCGAACCATAGAGAACATGTCTCCTTGTCCCGGTCTTTTCATCAATTGGTTTTGGTAGCTTCTATTGCCTTTTTTCAACCCCTTCCCGCCACAAAATTCAACCTCCTTGTATTTCTCTCTGATAGGATCAATATCAACGAAATTTGGACTGTTTCTTCCTGTCTCACCATAGAAGCACTCCAGCAAATTTGAAGCTCCATCTCCCTGGGGTTGTGGAGATTACTGAATCTCGTTTTTGGAAGATGTGAATTTCAATCCGTTTTTTTTTTCTCCCCCCTGGGTAGTCACTTCTGGAAGGCTTACGGTGGAAAGAGACCAACCATCCCTTATGGAAATGTCCTATAAGAAACCTATAGTTATTTCTTATAGGAAACCTATAGACTTTCCTATAGGTATTTCGAAACCCAGGCATTACGACGGAAAAGGCGACCGGGGTTAATATTGGCGCAGCATTTCGGTGTAAATCAAAAACCGATTAGAGGTTTTTCCATGGTAGGGACACAAGCATTATTAATACCAGTATTGGGGGGGTCTGCATAATTTATCAGCCCCACCCCACTAATGTCGTTGAATTGCACATCTACTTCCTTTGGTAGGAAGATGTAGTGATCTTCTCTCGACCTAAGGAAATAGAAGACAGAACCTGCGAGCACGTCTCCTTACTGAAACGCCATTTGGATAGAGTCTTGTCAGTTTCGTACGTGGTTTTCAAAGGAATAAGGGCATATTTCTTCACCGGACTCCATGATTATATCTGGAAGATTGGCATGACAAATAAGGAACTGTCGAAGTTTATTGATTGCTACAATGAGGCAAGGCGAGACATTTAGGGACGTACAAAACTCTCTTGTGAGTGATGATTCCTTGGGGAAGGGGAGGGCACTTTTGTGCCCTTTGAGAAATGCGAGAACCAAATACTTCCATGTAGTGGTCTAGAGGAGAACTTCAAACGGAACCCTATAGGCCTATAGGGTTCGGTATAAGCCCTATAGGGAACCCTATAGGTTCCTATAGGTCCTACAGGGTTCCGTATAGCCAATATAGGGAACCCTATAGGTCCAATAGGGAATCCTATAGGTGCTATAGCGAACCCTACGGGTCCTAAAGGGAACCTATAGGCCTTATGAGGAGGCCCTATTGGTTCTATAGGGGGATCTATAGGTTCTATAGGGAACTCTATAGGTACCAAACTGAACCTTTTGGGCATATAGGATCCTATAGGATTTCTTTAGGTTCCTATAAGATTCCTATAGGATTCCTATATATTCCTAAAGGAATATATGGGAATCCTATAAGACATTTTCGTAAGGGATGGGAAAGATGTTGGCTTGTAGATGACGAAAAGTGCCCTATTTGTTGCTTGCAATGCACAATTTCGCCATGAAAACTGAAATTAGCTCTCTTTCATTTAGGCTTAGAGAGGTAGCTCCGATCCCGTCCAGTGTTCCCGGATATCGTACCAAAATTATGCCAGATTCAAGACTATACTTCAACATTCGTATCGGCGTCTGGATCTTTTGTTTTTACTGTATGGGACATTTTCCTGCTGCGTTCATGAGTTGAGCTGAGAATGAAGCTGTGTTTAGCAGTGATTGATCGACGTGGTTTGAAATGGAGATATCTTATCCGGACATCCCTGAATTATAGGCATTCTCTCATCAGACCTATTCGAGATTGTTCGAGGAACTCCTGATAGGCCGAATGTTCCATGTCCCCATTGAATTCATATATGAAATGCAAAACATGTTTCAAATTGATCTGACGTTAAACGTGGTCTCTTAAATGGTTCGTGAAAGTCTGAATAGGTCTACGATTGGCCTGACGTTACACGCCCTCAACGAGATGCATGGGAGCCTACTGATTCATCCTTAAAGGCCTAATTGGCCCCCAATTAGGCCTTTAAGGATGAATCAGTACGTCGAGATTTGAGTTTTTTTAAGAATAGAGATAGGCTATGGGGTGACCTGAAGGCAGTATTTTGGTTAGGTCTAGGCTTAAGGTACTAAGGGAAGATGAAAATCGACCCCCCTAGAATCAAATTCTGGCTTATAATTATTGTAGA